AACCAGGTTGTGTTCTTGATCTGTGCTGCTTGTTCCAGGTTGCTGACAGCACAAGAAGACAGGCAGAGGGAGAATGCCCTGCAGCTGGAAGATGTCAGCAGGAGGAAAGGGTGCTGCACATAAGGCACATCAATGTGTCAGCAAGGGACATGTGCCAACACTGTTTCATGAAGCTGGGGTTCCTTTTGAGCAAGCCGAATCTGATGGTATCAGCTCTGCAGAGACTTTGGGAAGCTGCAGCTTTTCCCCATCTGGGAATTTCAAGGCACTAAATCAGGCCAAAACGTGCATATGATCTGCATTGTCCCATTTCCCAACTCTGCACGCAGCGCTGGTCTCTGGAGGCCTCTACTTCTTTGGGGGAATTCGACTGGTCTTGGCTAATAGCACAAACTGTGCCTTCTGTCTGGAGAGGTTGCTTCTCTGTAAAAGGATGAAGTCTTTTTCCTTTTCTTTCTGGCCAAGAAGTGGCCTAGCAGCAGAGAGTGGAGGACACAGTGGGTGCTGTGTTAAATAGAACTTTAGTGTAAGAGAGAAAGAAATTATTTTAAATTTGGGCTAGCTCTAGGTAGTGATCCATCCATCTCAAAAAGCAGCATCTCCTCTTGCTTCTGTAACAGCAGAGCCCAGCTGAAAGCCTGCTGTGGTAAGCAGGAAAACCTCCATCAGTTCCTCTAAGATCTGGATCAGGCCCTGTATTTACTGCGAAACTTGGTTTGACTTGCCAATATTGTAGTTAACTGATTCCATATGTGGATATAGTATGAACTGATAAAATGAGTCATCCTGATGGCTTTCTTCACTTTGTTACCCTAATGTCACTGTCCCTCTCTTACTGTTTACAGAACACAGAGCAGTTGCCCTGGGACTCGCAGGCGCTCGCATGTGCTGCTGATTCATACCCCGTTGCAGAAGCTGTGCTGTACATACTGGAGGGGCCATATATAGCCCGTTTTTAAGGCTGAATGCTGCCTGTTTCCTCCCATTCTCTTATCCTTTCCTGAAAAATCTCCAGCAACTAGGAACTGACTTATCTGCAGTACTGAAAGATCCCACCCTGCTAGCCTGACCATAGTGCTTTCAAATGTACCTGGGCTGGAAGCACAAGGCAGCTGCCTGTGTGAAACGTACCTAGTGAAGCTTTTTCTCTTGTGGTGACCTTGTGCAATAACCTCACTTTCCTGGTGAAGGGCCTGAGAAAGAGCAGGACTGAACCTGTTCCCATTGGGAAGGGACCTTCTCGTCACTAAGGAGTGGGGCAAAGCAGGGCGAGGGGAGCTGCGGGCTGAGGTAGGAACTGGCCCCAGAAGTGCGCCTCTCAGCATAGCTGCTGCTGTGCCTGGGCATGAAGCCCCTGGTGTTTTCTGGTGCATGATGCTTTCTGTTTTGTGGCTCAGTTGCTCTTAAAGCCTTGTGGGACTAAGTGAGCTTTTTTTGTAACACCCTGTTCCCTTTCTTCTTTGAGCCTGTTTCTGTATGTGACTGACATTTTAGGTGCAAGATGTGATACTGCAGCTGTGAAGCAGTCTCCCCAACCTTGCAGCACAGGGAAAGCCTATATTTGTCCACTGTCTTTCCTCTGTTGGTGTAAGGCGATTACTCTGAATGTCTGTTTATTGCAGAGATTTCTCTGGGAATATCTCATGCAGGAAAAGTGCTCTGAGTCACCTACAGCCCATCAGTGTTACAAAGAATTTCCATGGTTCCTCCCAGTGCCCTTTACTCCTGATAGGAAAGAGGAAGTTTTTCTCCGGAAGAGCAGGATTCCTGACTAAAATGAATAGCTAAAAGTAATAAGCTCCTACTCAGTCCTTACTGCTGGCTGGCTGTGGTTCACGCTGTGTTTAACTGCAGTAACGCCTTCCAGAGACTGGGAATCAGAAAGTTAGAAGAGGTCCAGAAGGAACCAGGGCAGCTGGTGTGGAGTCCAAAGTAACGCCAGCAGTGCTGCCGGTGGAACCGCTTGTGTTTGCAAGAAACAACGTTTGGGAAGGGAAATCCTCTCTTTTCAGAAAGCACCTGTAATCTGAACACAGACATGGCTTTCTGGCTTTCTAGCCAATGTGGGCATGAAGGACCACAGACATTATCACCTGTTGAACAGGTAAAACCCACTACCTGAGTTGGGGGAGCTGCTGTCAATGATTCCTCTGCATCATGCTCCAGTTGCAGGTTAATAAGGAGTGGCACTGACTAAGAACTGGCATCTTTGGTTGGGGCACATCAGTAATGCTAACATTTACTTACCTGCAGCAGCAGGATTTGGGAAGTTGCTGCAGAAGGAACAGAGCAATAACCAGTCTGCTAACGTGGTCTGAATGTGCACCTCCCACACTGTGTACAGAGCACATGAAAGACAAAAGTGTGAAATACAGCTGACACACAAATACAGGCCAATATATGTATTGCCTTTATCAGTGCTGTCATATTGCAACAGCAAGAACTACCACGTGGGGTTTTTTTTATGTACAACCTTAAGCATGTTTTCTTAGTGTGCAAGCAGAGTACAGGCAATAAAGAAATGCTGCCTTAAAATTGGTTGAGAGATTTTTTTCCAGGCACTGCGGGAGATTTATCCTCCCTTCTTCAGTCGCTGATTGTAGTGTGACCTCCCCTTCTCACTGCTCAGGAAGTGCTGAGAAGCCTGTCCCCCATGGTGGTCCAAACAGGAGGTTTGTAAGTAGGGAGAGAGTTGGTCAGGAACCCATGTCTTGGAGGCAGCATAGGAGCAATTCATCTCCAGTCTTATTTTTTCACCTGTTTCAAGCACAGCAGGGAGGAGAAAAAGGGACGATGCTTTCCCAGTGTCTGGGGGCAGTGTAGTGCTTTCAGAGACAGCACATTCTCACCTTGTACCTATATTTGTAGAACTAAACATTTATTTTAATAACATCCCATGCATCCCTTTCACTAGAGTTAGGAAATGCAGTTGTTTTTAATCCTTGTGCCCTGGCATGTCTCCAGCTGGATGTTCTTGCATTACAGAACTAATCTCTCTGCAGCTTTGACCAAAGAAATTATTACTCATTTCCCTTGCTATAAATGATAGCACAGGTAACTCATTGCAACATCTTTTTTTAGCAGGAACAGCATGGAGTTTTGTTTCAACCATGACAAAGTGGCACAGAATTTGAGCAGGTTGCGCTTGGACAACAGGAAGCACCAGGGTGGGTTTTATTACTGGATGGTCTTTTGTTGTCTCTCTGCACAATATTTAAACATCCTGTAGGAAGACCCAGACACTTACAGTCTAGAGGGGCATGTTAGTTTTTAAACCTGCCTAATACCAGACCCAGACTAGACCAGACTTTCCACAAAATTCCTAATTTTACTACATCCCCCTGTTTTTGTCAGAATCTCTCCTGACTCTGAATGGAAGCCCTGGGAGCAGCCACCCTTTGCAAGTGACTGCTGGAAACCGCAGCATAAATAAAAAGCAAATAATGGGGATATCCTGAGGTGGCATGAGGCAAGGGAGGACACAAAATAGACTCTGCCTGGGGGCTTATTCCTGTGCCGTATTGGCTGCAGTCTCTTAGTGGACAGGTGACTTTTTGCACATAATCCATAAGGCATTTTGGAATCGTATCACAAGAAAGTACACTTCTTACAGCCTGGGAAGCCTTATCCTGGCACTCGCAACAGTGCAGCTGTGTATACAATCAGATCTAGGGGCAAAGGCGAAAAAACCAGCTGCTCTGATAAGCAGCCACAGTCCCACAAAGCTCTGCACGTAGGCAAAGGGACCCCACTCTGCCTTGTGTTTCACTTGTCTCTCTGATGTTAATATGCTAAGGATAAGCATAACAGGATTAGCCTGACAGCATCTCTTTCAAAAGCCAAAACACGGCTGAAGACTGAGCATTAAACCACAGTGTTATGTTTAAAGCTTTCCCACAGGACAAACGCAGGAATTGCAAAGGTTTGGGATGTTGTTTTCTTCTACCTTCTTTATTCCAGCAGCCTGAGCTCCAAGGGACAGTCTCCATTTACAAACATTTAATCAGTTCCTGCTATGGGGATCATGCAGTCTCTCACACATTATTTTCTGTCCTGTCACCTTCTGTTTGTGTCTTTTCATGCTCTTTTTACTTGTTAATTGCTTAGTCCATATATATATTGACCAAGTACTTAAGCTCCAAGTATAAATATATCTCATAGCAGCTCACGCTATACACCTTTAAATGCTCTATTTGCAAATCTTCTGCTCAGTGCCAACAGATCCACAGGCCTGCAGTTCAGAGCTTCGTTAGCTCTTTGAGCCACCATCAGTCTGCTCATTACTTACCTGGCTGTTCATGAGTCACATGGAAATTTCAGTTGGTGCAGCTACAATAATCCGGCTCCAGACTCTTCAGGCCTGCAAGGCATGTGTTATATGCATATCAAGACACGTGGTTTAATAAGGCCCTGATCCTGCAGATACAAGTGTAGCTGTGTGCTTCTTCTGAAATGACTAGTCCACAGGAGACCTGACCAGGTAAAATTAGTTTTTTCAAGGTAAACACGTATCTCCAGTAAATATATATTACTCCAGTAATAAGCTGAGGACTGGGAGGTGGGGGGTTCTGTGGTTTATCTCACTTCTGCCTGCAGGCTTTCCCAAGCACACAACTGCGGCACAGGCAGCAGTTGTGCCTAATCGTGCCCATTTGCTGACCCAAATCTGCCAGGGCAGGAGGTTACGTTCCTTCCTGTTTGTACATGAAATCTCTGGACATGGCAAGAAGGCAGCTGCCCAGTGCGGCTGGCTACCCAGGACTCTGCCAAGGAGGGCTGGGGCCTGGGGTAGGGGCCAGCATCTCTTGTTGCCTCCTGGCTCTGCCACACACTTCCTGCAAGAAACCTTTCAATGTCTAAGTGTGAGCTGGTACCCTAAGGCTCTATGTAATCACTTGGCTCTCCAGGGGCTCTAAGCTAAAGCTTAGGTAGGATCCCTGTGGGTTGAGGAGAGAGGAGTTGGTTTACTCATTGGGAGGGATAAAGTGACTCTTGAGTTGGGCACACGGGCAGGAGATGTTAAGTGTCAGTCGAGGCAAACACCCAGGAGGTCCTAAACTGGCCTTTTCCCTCCCTCCCTGCTCAGATCTCCTCTCTTCCCACCCACCCCTAAAAAAACATGCAAGGCCACTCAGCCACCGAGGGGAGCAGCCAAGGGTCTTTCTTCTGAGACCAGCCTCTGTGCGGGGCTGTTGCTTAGCGCAGAGGTATTTGGGCTGAAGTTGAAATGATGTAATGGAAGGATGAGGCAATGTGCCAGTCAGGGCTTGATCTTGATTTACAGGATGTTTCATGGAAAACTCTTTAACAAGCAGGTCTGACGCCTTAAAAAAAAAAAAGAAAAAAAAAAGAGGGAGAGAGAAAGCAGCTCCAGCTCGAGTTTGCTGTAATGTTTTGCTTGGGGCATGAAAATGCCGGTGTGAGGCCCAGGTGGCGAGAGCCAGGTGTCACTGCTACCAGAAGCACGGTTTGGCAGGCTTGCACAGCACCCGCCAAGCCAAACGCCCCGCGACCCCGCCCCCCGGC